CCGCAACTTACCGCCAACTGATCCGCCGAAGATCACAAGCCTCAACTTCGATCGGTAAAGCATGCGCTACTGTGCTCGGAAAATTATTCTGTACGTCGAGAATCAGCGCTCGAAAATGTTCCACATTCATCTGCGGTTATTTGAGAGTATGCGTTGCTATAGTTATGGAAATCTCCGCCTGCCGTGCCAAGATCTATCAGGACGCCTTTATATGAGAGCTGGAAAGGTTTCTTGGACAGTCAACTGAATCATGTTTTTCCCCACTTTGTTATTGCTACCTGGCTTCGCCACGTATGTGCTGGGAACAACCGTTTACATGGCTGGTGATTCAACCATGGCCAAAGGTACCTGCCTATAGCTGTCCTCCAGCCCATACGCTGATTCTTTTCAGACGGTGGCGGCTCGGGAACCGACGGTGAGTGCCTCAGAATCGTCAAGGATACCGTTTTCTCATCGCGATAGGAACTGAAAAGGTTGGGGTCAATATTTGGGCCAGTATCTGTCTGTCACGGTCGTGAACAAAGCCATTGCGGGTCGTAGCGCACGGAGCTATACTGATGAAGGCCGCTTTGACACGCTCATCGACACTGTCTCTAGCGGCGACTACGTCGTGATCGAGTTTGGTCATAATGATGGATTGTCCGGTACCGTGGATAATGGGCGTCAGGATGCTTATGGTTTGCTTCTCCATGCACCTAGTCTCTTCACATCCTTACAACCTCGTTCTTCTCAGGGGACGACTACAACACGACGAGCACAGTGACCAACTCAGCGTAAGTGATACTAGCACCAGCTTCGCAGCGTTCGGAATTAAATGGTTCCCTTGCAGTGGTGAAAGTATAGTCATTCACACATTCCCGTACTATATACAGAATGCCGTCACTGCTCTCCAAGCCAAGGGTGCCATCCCGATCGTTTCCTCGCAAACTCCCAGCAATGATTGGGACGACGGTGTCATTACCGATCCCCCTCGCTTTGTTGCATATGCGAATACGGCAGCCACTCGTACTGGAGCGACGTACATAAATCACTACGCATACGTGGCCCAAGCCTATGAGTCTCTCGGGGAGACTGTTGTGGATGCATATTACCCTCTCGATCATACCCACACGTCGGTAGAGGGTGCCAACGTGGTAGCGGAGGCATTTGTGAGAGGACTGCTTTGTGGTAATAGTGACTTGGCGGCGTATGTCAATTCTGCAGGACAGGCTGTTCCCAGTACGTGCATCGATGACCGCCTAAAATTTGGAGTTGCAGTATGCTGACACGTGATCACAGATAGCTGTTTGTAACTCGGAGTAATACTAGCGGTCCTCGGTCGACGACATCAATACCTTGCTTTTGCGTTGTCATCCATCTTCTACTTTCCATTGATGTGGATGTGGAACGTGGAAACATTCCTGTATTCAATGTCAAGGCTGATTCAATTTCCAGCGTCGTAGCGTGGCATGGAAGTATTAGAACAACTTCAACAGCTTGTTTGTGTCTAATTGAGATACAAGCAGTAAAGTATTCGCTGATCTCGCCATATAATGGCTGGTAGAGCCACGGTGTTTGCAAGCCGCTGCGAAGCAAAGATCAAGGATTCCATTGGGAGATGGGCCACCTTTTTTTCAAGCGTTTATCATGCACTTCCTTGAATCTCGTGGCGTAAAGTGTCCTAGAGGTCAGGATTGTATTCGGATATGTAGTAGTACAGGTATACTGGTTCAAGTCGTTGGCCGCTGGGTCCTGTTGGTCGTGGTTGGTCGCCAGTGTAATAATCGGAGGATAAGGAAATACGGGCATCACATGATTGCCGCCTCTTAGTCATCACATCGTTATGCACAGCAGACCTTGCAAGTAAGGTAATATGGGGGAGCCGCAACGCCTGTAAGGGAAATTATATTTGGTCATATTTGCCAGGGCCTTTATGGAGGGAAAAAGTGAAGCTGCAGGATTGTAGAATGACACTTCGTCTTTTGGCCTAGATTAGTATCCAAATATCCCTAACTGATTCATATCTCGGTTTTGTACTTGGCAGAAATGAAATATTCTATCGGAATTACTACGATCATTACTTTGTCATTACTGGATTTTGGGTACAGCTACCGAAAATCCATCATTTTCTTAGGCCATCCCCGAGAGATGTTCAGTACATACAAATAATGTCTATAATGCAAGAGGAAAGTGTTGGAGTTTAGGTGGTGGCGACTCAGAAAGAGGACGTGGTTGACTCGAAAGGCAGGTATATTCTATCGTAGGTACAGAGACAGTGGGTGGTCGGAGTCAAGATACGATAGGTACGAAAATGTCAAAGTAAAGTAAAATGGCAAATAGGTATAAATAAGATGTGGAAACCTTCAATAGAAAGGGGATGTCCCTCGCTCATAATCATGCATACAAAATTCTGTCACAACTGCCTCATTAATTGGTGTGACACTTGTGTGACCGTGGTACTCATATTGTTCAGATGTGCTCACTGCATTGCTCATACACATATTTAACTATTTTCATCCTCTGTAGGATGTATTTAATGATTACATTCTATTATTTTGAGGACAGTTTCAGGGATAAGCGAGTAATCAAGTGTTCATTCGGTTAATGACAGGCTTCACATTTCGGGTGGCTGTGTGCTTAGTCAGTCGCCACGGTCCATATAGGCGATGCGGCTCCCCATAAATAATATTTAATATATAGCTAGCGGTCGTCTTTGACGACTTTGATACCTTGCCTAGCGGTCTCCTTTTGTAGTTAAGCAGGTATCTAATTTGATGCAGTAAAGTTAATTCATTCGCACTTGGAAACTACAAGTACATATTGAGGCGAACAAATTGTGGAAATAGAAATACATGCAGCAAAAGGAGAGGCTCCCTTGAATTTTTTCATTAATGGCTTGGCTCGAAAGCAGCTGATACAGCCTTCAAGGTCGGTAAGTTACAAAGCTATTCACTGCGATATTGGTCTGACGATATCTAGTTTACTGGTGAAACGAATCAACGATAAAGTGCTCACCTCGTCACGTTGACATTGAACATCGCAAGGCTGCCAACATTTTCCAGCCTAGTCGTGTTACACATCAATTTGTGCAATATGGTTTACGGGGCATGGGCTGCATGGCTTCTGTAAGTTCTGCTGGATTAAGCTTGTGCGAGGGACAATGGTGCAAGTGTGACTCCGAGTGAGAGCTAGCGCTTATCATTCAGACTCTGCAATGCTATAACGCATCCATTGTTCTCTATGGTAGACTATGTGTATGTGAGCAAACTATTATCGCATGCTCCAAGGAGACGTTTTCCACCGTATAATCGCGTACGCCAGCATGAGTCTTTTGCTGATGGATAGGGGACCCGCTGAGCATACGTGTGTAGAACGTTGTGCCCTGGATAAAACGCAGTGTGGCAATTGGTTGTATGCCCCCGGGGGTGTGGAGGAATGGGTTACCATTGCCAAGAACTGTCGATGGATTCGGACTTTGCCGTAATATCACGTTACTTGGTATCCTTTGTAAGCAGCATTCGTAGACCCACTGAGAATGCATTCTTCGAGAACATTTTTAATAGACTCAGTCACTATCAGTACTGAATCCATGTTGGTGCCGTTGTAGAAAGTCATGGTGGTTTCTCGGAACACACGGAACGCAATTACCAAATGGTCTTTTTCGGATTTTGCCGATAAATCACGTTACTTGGTATCCTTTGTAAGCGGCATTCGTAGACCCACAGACTGAGACCTTTTTCTTTATCTAATTAACCGCCGCAAGTACACTAGCTACTAAGACGCGGTGAAGGTGCTAGTCCTCAGGCACACTCCCTCCCTCTTGTCCCAGTCCCCCTCTCTTGCATCTGGTTTCTCTGGGTGTTTCGACGTATGATATGTAGTAGAGTAACGAACTTTGGGTTAATTGGATTGTATCTGCGTTTGGTGTGTTGATTTGTGAACGTGACGTGCATTTGGGACATTTTGGGTATGCTCTCGTTTCCGGTGGATAGCGGTGCCTATCCAGGCTCGTTTTCTGAGTCGTCCTCTTCCTCCCACCAACCACAGGGACCTTGACAGGCAAGGTAACTCGGATTTCAATTTGAATGCATTCTCCAGTTAATCACAACAATGTCCGTTTTTCTCGGCGTTCGAAGGGAATGCCAAGATCAGCGTTCATTTATAACGCGCGGGACAAGCATTCGAACCCGGTGTTACATGCTCAACTAGGTCTAGGGGCTCCTGGAGGCGCTAACTAGACAGATCTGCTCCCACCCGGCGATAGAAAGCATGTCTCGAAGTGAGATTTTTGTCAAGTAGCATATGCACCTGTTGCAGCATGTCCAGGTGCACCTGTCAGAGGTTGCCTTGGCGGAACGATATAGTACATATTTGCCAGGGTATAAAAGTATGGCGAATGAAAAACGATACACAGCACTTCACTTTCTACATCTGAACTCCCAACTTGAATATGTTGGTATCTTCGCTTTTCATTCTTCTCCTCGGTTTGAACGTAGCTGCTGGTGTTTCATCACCGATGGAAGCTCGTAGCGGGACCCATTTAACTCAGGCTCAAGCTGAAGCCCGTCTCATTCCTGCGGGAATTACTGCCTCTTCCACTGGGGGATGTACAGATAAGTAAGCCCCGTTAAATAACAATTCTAGGTGCGGCAATATAAGACTCGGAATAGGAATAAATCAACGTGTACGTCGTACGACGGCATACTTTCTGGCACGGTCGACGGGGTCATCACGTTGAAGCAAGCCTCGGGCTCTAGCTCACTGGTCATTACCGGTGGTACCGAGGTAGGTCACGCCAGCGGAACATACTCCCATGCAAATGGTTACAAAGGTTACGTTACCCTTTATAAATTGCTTGTAGTGTACAGGCCGCGTCCTAACTCATTCCCAGTGGATGTTCGCCATGCGTCGGTGGTCGACAATTATATCAAGACGCATTTTACTCGAATCGGCAATAGAGGAGACGGATATCCTCAGTGGCAGGCCGCTAGCGGGAATATCTATTGCGTAGGTTTTTGATTTTCGTCATCGAACACCTTTATTCAGCTTTTTGTTTTACATAGGATGAAGGATCGCACTGGGACATCACCTATTATTGAAGGTCTCCGCCTTTCTATTATGTAGTAGTACCTGATACGGTTTTCTAAAGTGGATCCTCGTTGTACAAAAACAAATTTCACATTTCGCAGTCGGTCTCTAAATGTTGAGCATATCTAAATTTCACCATGGACAGCAATGCCGTCAATCACTGTCGCAAGAAACTTCGTGTTCATGATTTCGGACACTGGGACCGTCATGATGTTTTGCGAAAGGACGACAAAGTCTGCCCGTTTTCCAGGCTCTAGTGAGCCTAGAACTGATTCAGTAAATGATGCATACGCTGGGTCGATGGTCATGCCTCAAATACGACGTTTAACATTCAGCAATGCGTAAAAATAAGACGTGCAGGCTTACCGCGCAATGCCTCGAGACGCGTTAATCGTTGCTCAGGGAACCTGTAGGATCGCGGGCTATGTATTAATGTAAAGATGGAAACCGCATCAGGCTTACCATCCTCCTGGACCGTGGGGTGAGTTTCCATCCAACGATACTCTTGTGATTGCAGCGTAGAACCCGGCAAGGGGATTCATCGTCTCAACAGGAAAGTCAGATCCAAGAGTAATTCTAGCTCCGCTATTTAGCAGACTACGGAAAGCGTATAGTCCCTTGATGCGCTCTGGACCCTATGGAATATTTCAGTGTTGCTTGGAAGTGCGATTGTAGGAGAGGTGACTCACAATGCGTTCCTCCGCATACCACATATCATCAATAACATGGGTGGGCTGTACACTGGCAATGACTGTAAAGCATAAAACTGAACTGAAACCATTTTTACAGGGTAGATTAGCCTACCCCCGATTTTCCCCGCACGCTTAATATCAGCCTTCGCCATGATCTGAGCGTGCTCAAGACGTGGCCGCCTTGCGGCAGCATTCACATCCTCGAAAGCGGACTCTAAGGCATCTAGGACGATACCGTTGGCACGATCTCCGATTGCATGGACGTTCTGTGTAACAAATGGTCCTATGTTCTTAACACGGGGAGTCGAGTACTCACGACCTGCCAGCCATCACGGAGGAAGAGCGGGATGACCCTGTTAATTGTTGCCTCAGACACACGCATAAAGCCGTTTGTGGTCGGATTGTCAGTGTAGGGTTCATATAACTAAGATGATCAGTCTAGACCATGAATAGGTGACAATTTTGCCTACCGCTGCTCCACCTGTTCTCATGGAACCTTTCAATTCGTGTAAATGTTATGGCGTTTGACAGAAATAGCACAACGAACCATCCCCTACGATCTTCACGCTGCGGGCACTGAACCTATGGTCATCTGACAACATCTGTGGTTTGGTGATGTTACCCCAGTATTCCTCGCCTTCGTCATAGTTTGTCATTCCGTACAAACGAATCTACGTAACAAGCTCAGCAAATATAATTGGCGGCACATTGTTGAACGTACCGGCAGCTTTCCGGCAGCAGCTTTCTAGAGCGAGGTAAGTGTTGAATTCACCATTTATCACAGGCGAATACCTCCTAAAGAAGTCCAGCTGCTGGAAGTCAAGTTTGGCATCATGGATGGACGTGAGCCCGTTGGCCAAGGCATTTCGTACGGTAGTCGAAAAGCGCCGCTCATAGTCCTCCTCAGTTGGAATTGGAACTGGCAACAATTCTTGAGCATTGTCGAGGAACACACCTATGAAGTACGCTGTCAATGTGAAACATAGCAGTGAACACAAGGTTCTTGCCGGCTGGTTGCCCTTTCTTGTCACGAACAATCATTCCGCCTTCTACGGTACGTGGGAGGGGACGGATGTCCTGGAGAACACGGCCAGAGACCCAGGTACCGTGCCCGTCCTTGCTACGCAACATCACAGAACGTCCACGAATGACTGTACTGGTATCGAGATCAGCCTGTGTCGTTTAAGAGAAACTGTTATAAATAATATAAGCAAGACGCACGTACTGCGGTCGGGAACCTTGACTCTGGCCAGGCGGTGTGATCCCATCCCCAGCCCTCAATGACCTTCGACATATTGTTGTAAATATCTGGGTTTGATACGATGTAATTTTCGACAAAGGAAACCGTCTCGGATATATTTCTTCCCATTTCAAGAGGTATCTGACGGTATAGACCATAGTGCATAATGTGGGCATGAGATTCTACACATGGCAAGCTTTGCAACATGGTTTACAGGGAGATATGAAGTGTTGCATACCACTAATTCCTGGCACAATCATAGCTCCATCGGGAATATACCTGACCCGTAGAGGCACAGTCGACGTCCTTCTCCGTTGTATAGAATCTAATGTATTTCACCGTTAGAATGACATGCGTGCATGTGCTCCGACCCACCAAGATCTCCCGTGTCAGATATGAAAGAATCAACGACAAGTTCGTGAGTTAAGGGTATCGACAATGTAGATGTTGCTTCCGTGGGAGCATATCGCGTATGTCGTCGAGTCGGCAGGATTACTGAAATCACCAAAGAAGAGTAGAGCAGAAAATACCAGAGCAAGAAGAAGGAGTGCAATACGGGCAAGGGGTGTGGTTAGCCGCCGCCTAGGCAGAGCAATCCGACTATGCACCAATTTCTTGTCGAGCGACGACATGTTGAAATTGGGCAAAGATAGAGCGTCGGGGTCAGGGTAGATAAGATGGGGGCCAGATCCACGTGCATCGTGGCCATGTCGGTAAACTCCGGCTACATTCAGCCCGACCCTTCCTCCTCACTTGTTCGTATCAATGCTGGGATCCTGGTTCGGAAATCCTTCGCAAGAAAGTAATTTGTTTGATGATCCTCCTACACCAATAGAAGCTCCCTCGGGTCCAGCGCATTCCTTGACCTCAAAGTTACGCACCCCACATGATGCCATTCTCGCCGACCTTCATGGGGAATATGTCGAGCAAGCCGAAGAGGCTGCAAAGAGCCGTTATTTCAACGTACCATCGCGGCATACAGAACCTCTTCGTGACCCATATGATGGATCTGTAGTCGGACAGGTCGTACCCGCCGATCCACTGCTTCATCTTGATGTGCGAATCCCATACTATGATCCCAAAACAGACGAACTGCTATGGTCGCATTTGTCCAAGGTGTTGGAACTGCAAAGTGAGATAGCTGTGCTACATCTTGGGATGGAGGTTATTGGGACGAAGCAGGGAGACCAAGCTAAGGGCAAAGGCAGAGCAAACAAAGATGATACGTGGGAGGGAAAGGAAGACAAGGACAAGCATGATGTTGATGATGCAGCAGAGGTTGGAGAGTACGAGCGCGTCGATGTCAGTCCAGAGGCCGATGAGGAGAAACAAAACAGGGAGCGAGAAGCAGAATTCGCCAAACTTTCTCATCAATTTGAAGGAAGAAAAGAGGGAATCCTGGAAGTCATGAGCAAAGTGAGGCATCTCCGGCTTTGCTTGTTGTTTAATTGACCGACGTTTTCAGCTTGACAATCTTTCCAAGGCTCTCACCGACTTTCATGCCCTTCAAGAGCCTAAAATCGATTTCCCTTTACCTCTCAATAACGTGTCCCCGTCAGATACCTCGTCCAGCTCCATGTACAAAGAGAGGGTAACACCAACAACAAGCCTGTCGACAATTGTGCCCCCCGCTACTCCTACGCGTGCGATTCCGCCCGTCGCTAATCTTATTGTAAACACCCTTGAACCAGGCTCACAGACGCATTTCATCGACAGCCCTGATTCACTAGCTGAACATCATTTTAGGCCATAGCAGGAATGGAGCTACCTTCCGCAGCCAACAAGGTCCCCATCTATGATTTCCTATGTCCGCCATTGGAACGAGTCAGGAGACAATGAGATGGCGACGATCCTATTGTAGGTTTGAGGATTAAGTATTGACGAGAGCTCGAACTAAGTTTCTGGGCGTAACTCTTCACTTTAAACATTGGGAGTACTTAGTAGAGGCGAAGACGTGGAGATCAATTATAGAACTTTAGCTTTAAATACGAGTTTCGAGTGATGTCACCAACATTGTCCCTCATCTACTATCTCGTATCAACAGCTAATTCAGGAGCGACTATGTCAGCCTCTTGCAATAGTCGGGATTTCCGGCAGGATTCAGCGCCCAATTAGGGAAGTTGACGACGCGACCCCCAGCACCTCCAACCTACGAGAAGATCAGAAACTTTTGGCAAGGTCGAGCATACTTTTTGACTCACCGCAAAACTGTAGACGAATACCATGACTTCTGTTCCACCATCAAGAGCAGCCGACATCCTGAACTTGACTGTCAGCTTGTACGAGGAATTAAATTTTTAAATTTAAATCTTACAAGAAGTTGTACTTCCTGAACCATCTCGGGTGATACCTTCTCAGGTAGAACTGACTAAACATGCAGAGCAAGAATGTATTGAAAACCGCGGAGTTGATGCCTCCCGAAAGAGCTCCGATTTCACTGCAGATCATCGGTGTAATAACACCATCAAAGTGAAGTTTGGGATACTTCCTATGGAGAAGCCAGAACGGAACGGGAACGACGAGACCAATGAATATTGACATCGGAATTATGCCATATCGTCCGGAAGGTTGGTACAGGTATTTTGCAAGGCCACCCCAAGTAATTGCATCACTGAGATACATAAAAAATGCGTTTCGAAAGAGATCATAAGAAGAGAAGTGTGGCAAAGTACCTGTTGAAAGACTGAATAGACGCTCCAGACCATACATTTGTACCCTGTATACTGAGGAGGATTTCACGGTTGGAATTGATAACAACTTTCATGATGATATAGTTGAGAATGGCGCCGATGACCGCACCACCGCATTGCCTAGGAGCCATTGAATAGAAGCATAAAAGATCAGAGCACAAATGGTTACATGGTAAACGTTACTCTGGGAGGGAGCTTCGTGTATTGTCCCATCTTCAGGTCCCGTGTCATTGAGCGGCCCTGCTCGGTGGAATTGTAGGCATACTGGTCGAAAGTGTATCAGTAAACATAGTTGAGGTCTATGCGAAGACGTTTACCATCGTGAAGTACATATTTGCCTAGTCATGAGTGGTTCAAATCAGCCAGGTGGAACAAGAAGCGAGACACCGTACGTGAGGCTTTCCGGGCACTAATGCTGCACCGAGCATCTATCCAATATAATAAGCATCCAAACAAGTGGAGAAAGGTAAGTCACATACTCTAGCAATGTCCTCAGTCCCTGGAACGTAACTATGTGCTGATCAGAAACAGAAATGTGCAGACCAAGATTAAAATGATCACCATAAAACAGCATATAACGTCGATATAATGGGCAAGAAAATCGTGGCAAAGCCTACGGCGATGAAGAACGCCCACCTAAAGTCTCCCTCAATAATCTGCATGAACGGTAAGAGATCGCGCTCATACCAGGGCAATAGCGCCTCGCCAGTGTAATTTGTAGCAAGTGCCATGGCTATAGATGCTACAAACATTCCAGCGTACCACCACATCGGCACTTCGTCGTACACTTTCATTCTCTCATAATGGGCTGACAGTTGCGACATGATCCATGTCCTGTTAATTATAAATTAAGGCTCACCATCATCGATTTATTGGCTCGAGCTATTTTGATAGTATCCCACACCTGCTTACCATTCCAGAGAATCATATGTGTGACAGTGGCTCCAAACGATAAGCTCGCGCCAATCTTAGATATGACTTGGGTACCAGCCATGAAAGGAAGGCCAACGGCTTCAAGCTTGGTAGCGTTGATCGAGTAGTCTGCGTCCAGGATAAGAGTTTGGTCATACTCCGTGCCATTTTCAAGATAGAGCAGCTAGAGAGGCAATGTATTATATAAGAGAATACAAGCAGCGCGACAAAGCACACCTGGGTGAGGAAGGGAAAATTCTGGGAGTTCCACACATTGTTTGCGTATACGCCAACGAAGCTCAATCTAACGGAGGTGAGATCACCGTCGGGACATATCCCAAATGTAAAGCATTTGACATACATACAAATGAGTACACCACCGAACAAAGAGAGCTGGGTTGCCAAGGGTTGAAACAGAGCACCGTAGGCCGATCCGCCAGACCCTACATAGTTCCAGTCGAAGCAAAGTGAGAAAAGACCAAGACCTTCATTGCCAGCGGCGCCACCAAAGATGCGAGTTACCCAGGCGCTATCCCGGCGAGCAAGACACATGATAGAGACACCCGTAAGCAGAGGAGCGATATATTCTGGGAACCATTCCCAGACGACTGATACATACCATTAAATATCAGATCAAGGTGTCAGTAGTTCAAACACGGTACCCACATGCGCCGCCGAACAATATCCAGAAAAATTGAATCCTTTTTTTCTGCAGGAAGTTGTTGGTGTTACTATGAAGGACTTCGAACATTTGGATTGTAGGGATCAAGTTCGGGAAAACGATAAACGTAGGGTATACCAGGAACGAGCGCATCATCCCTACAATGATCTTCAGCTTGTATTATCTGCTTGGATCATACATCTACGTACCAGCTAATCCATAACCCAATAACTGGCTTCCAAGCAGCCGTAAAATAGCAATGGCTGGATTTGTGTTGGAATCCATAAAAAAGATCATCAGCGGAGAAAATTGCTGATAGCCAGAGCACCGTGCGTGGCGGCCGCCGACATGATGAGGATACCCACATGCTCCTTTATATTGAACGGGCCGGGATTGATAAAGCGCCAAAAGGCGCTGTTCGAGGTTCGCAGAAGAGGAAGGCGATTATTGGGCCCCGGAAGAATTTCTTCCAAGCTTGCCGAGACCGAAAGCGGCTGTTTGAAGGAAGAGTTGGGAGACGTAGACAGTTTGGGGGCGGAACGACTGGTCAAGTGGTGGGTATGTAATAAGAAGCCTCGAGAATGGAATACTACGTACAAATATCTGACTTAACACGGCGCCGAAACACGACAAACCGATGGAGCAGAACCATAGACGGAAGGTCCATACGGGAAGAGTGGTGTCATCGTCGAGCGAAATAAGACGAAGCGACCAGTCTTCCGCAGACACTGCAAACGCAAGCATCAGGACACGAGGAAATCAGGCATACAAATCAAAAAGCGAACCTATTGGCCTTTCTTTGCCATCTTCGCCCATGTCAATCGCACGTCCATCCTCGAACACGCCCCCGATATCCGCAAACTTGACAGAGACTTTACCCTCGGCTCCCTTCTCGAAACTCTTCTCATCCTTGAAAGAAACTTTCTCGTCTTCAGAGGAGGCCGAGCTAGGAGACCCTTTGTTCATCGCAGGCAGCGTATTCACATCCTCGACTAGGGAGACATGACCGGAGAAGGGATGAG